GGCCACCACCAGCACCGGGTAACCCAGGCACAGCCACACTACGGTGCCTGTGCGCTGCTGCAGATGGGGGGGGTACAGCTTTAGTTTGGGGGTTCCACCCCAAACACCTACCCTAGGGGAGCACCTGTGGGTGCTATCCACACCATGAGGGGGGTGCCCATGCTAAGGAAGGGGGTATCAGCACATCCAGTACAGGGCTCACCCAGTATCCAGTGTCCCCCCAGCACCATGGGTGCCAGCGGTGGGGCACGGGGCCACCGAGCAGGGGTGAGCTCTCCTCTGCGCCAGCTTCACGCACCCGGTGGGACTTGGGGGCCTGGGGGAAGATGGGGATGTCAGGATGCATAAAAGGATACCCCAACCACCCCCCCCCCCCCCCCCCCCCCGCCATGGGATTCCAATCGGGATGTGCCATTACCTCCACTTTCTGGATCACTTTGCCAAAGGGCCAGAGGAAATACCCAGCCAGGTCCCAGCAGAGCTGCCCTGCGGGGACACGAGAATCAGCTCTGGTGGGGACACCATCAGCTCCAGGGCCACCTCATAGAGAAGGGACCCAGAAGGCCCGCAGCTCACCCAGCCCTTCCCATGGGGGTCCCAATCTGGGGCTCACCATAAGGAGCCCCCACAACGGTGATGAACATCACAGCAGCCACGATGCCATAGAAGAGCCAGAGCCACCAGCCAAAGAGCAGCAGGTAGAGGATGTTCCCACACGTCACCATGGACCCTGTTGAAGGGCAGGCACAAGATAGGTCCATTCTCCTCTACACCAACCCAAACCCACGCTGCCACCACCACCACAGGGCTGTCCCCATGGGCACCCACCTCCAGAGCCCCGGATAACGTTGAGGTCGGAGTAGAGCTCCTTGACTATCTCGGAGCGGTCCTCCCATGGCCGTGCCGTCACGTGGCTCTTCCACTTCTTGAAGCCAAACTGTAGAGGGACATTATAGGGGGTGAAAGGGGGAAAAGAAAACCCATTGGACCCAACACAGCCACCCAGGAGCACCCATAGGTGCCCCCTCCCGTGCCGCAGGCACCCACCTTGTAGTTGTTGGAGAGCTTGTTGGCCTCCACAGCATTTTCGGCCGTGAGGGTGGTTTTGACCATGCAGCTCTCACAGACCTCCTCTGAGTGCTGGTGGCAGCAGGACAGGGGGGACACAGCTACGGCGACAATGGGTGACAACGGGTGACAATGGGTGACCCCCCCCCCCTATTCCTGACCCATTCCCATCCTACCTGTGGGGATGCGGGGCCGGTGCAGGTGGCAGCCCAGGTCGCTCACGTCTCCCTGCACGTTGTTGATGGTGGAGCAGTGCCGGTCGCAGAGCGAGCCCCGGCGGGGGCCGTTGCTGTCACCCCGGGGCTCGGTGGCCTTAGGGCCATCTGTGGGGGGGTGGAACAGGGTCACACAGGGGCCTGGGCTCAGCACCCTGGGTCACAGGGTGATGTTGTGAGGGGATATCCCCCTGGCCCCCAGAACACACAAGGAGGATACATGGAGCTCCCAGGGGATGGGTGGGAAGGGGAAACCCATTGGTGCCAAGGATGGGGAGGGGGGACCCCGGTTCCTGGAGCCATACTCAGGATGGGGGACCCCACTAGTGTCCAGAATGGGGAGAGTCCCCAGAGCAATGCTCAGGAGTTGGGGGACCCTACTGGTACCCAGGATGGGGTGGGGGGACCCCAATGTGATGCTAAGTAGCTGGGGGAGACCCCACCAGTGCTGAGAACAGGAAGAGCCCCCAGGACCAGAGCAATGCTGGGGATGGAGGGACCCTGCCAGTGCCCGGGACGGGACGGGAAGGGAAGGAGGACCCTAGAGCGATGCTCGGGGATTGGGAAAGGGACCCCAGCGGTGCCGAGAACGGGGATACCCCCAGTGCCCGGAGCGATGCTCGGGAAAGGGGGACCCCGCCGGTGCCCAGAACGGGGCGGGAAGGACCCGCCCCCCCCCCCAAGCGCTCACCGGACGCGTCCTGCGCGCAGCAGCAGCGGCGGCCGGGCTCGGTCTCGCTGGCCATGACGGGGCAGCGGCGGTGCCGGGGTCTCGGGGCCGGTTCCCCCCACCGGGGCCAGCCGGGATTTAACGGGAGGTGCCGGGCATGCGCGGGGCGCGCCCCCGGGAGCCGCCCCGTTCACACCGGGAGGGCCCCCCGCCCGCCCCGCCCCGGCCCGACCGGAGCCTCGCCTGCCGGGAGCTGCGGTGCGGAGACAGCGAGGTGAGTGCGAGGGAACCGGGGTGCACGGGGGTGCGCAGGGACCGCGGGGTGCGGTGAATGGGGGTGCACAGGGACTGGGACACGCAAAGCGTCCGGGTGCCCGGGGATGGGGATGTACGGGAACCGGGGTGCGTCGTGTATCGCGCTGCAGGGGGCTGGAGCGTGTAGGAACCGGGGTGTGCGGTGTGTTTGGGTGCACGCGGACTGGGGTGAGCGCTGTTTTGGGGTGCACAGGAACCGGGGTGTGCAGCGCATCGGGGTGCATGGAGTTGTACTCTGCAGGAAACGGAGTGCGCAGGGACCAGGGTGCGCGGTGTATCTGTGTGAGCAGGGATTGGGGTGCCCAGCGAACTGGGGTGTGCAGGGAACGCGGTGCACAAGGATCCGGGGCTCACAGCGCAGCAGGACACACAGGATGCTGCCCCAGGAGCCTGGGGTGCGTGGTGTATTGGGATGCACAGGGCTGGGGTATGCATTAACTGGGGTGCACAGGGATGGGGGTGTGCAGGGACCAGGGTCCATGATGTACCAGTGCGAACAGAGACTGGGATGAACAGGGAGCAGGTGCACAAGGACTGGGGCACACAGGAACCTGGGGTGCACCAGGGACCTAAGGCTCTGCACTGGGAGCAAGGTGCAGGGGGCTCAGGGCGCACAGGGAGCAGGGTGTGCAGTGTATTGGGGTGCACAGGGCTGGGACATGCAGGAACCAGGGTGCACAGTGCATAGGGGTGCATGGTGTATTGGGGTACACAAGGATAGGGGTGCACAGTGATCAGTGCATGGTGTGTATAGGGGTACACAACGATGTGGATTCGGGACTAGGGTGCATGGTGTATTGGGGTACACAAGGATGAGGATGCAGAACTAAGGAGCATGGTGTACTGGGGTACACAAGGATGAGGATGCAGGACTAAGGAGCATGGTGTACTGGGGTACACAAGGATGAGGATGCAGGACTGGGGAGCATGGTGTATTGGGGTGCACAGGGCTGAGGCATGCAGGAGCTGGGATGCATGGGGAGCAGGATGTGTGGTGTACTGGGGTGCACAAGGATGGGGGTGCATGGAGACCAGGGTCCATGGTGTATCAACATGACCAGTGACTGGGGTGCCCAGTGAATTCAGGTGCACAAGGACCAGATGCATGGTGCATCAGGGTGCACAAGGACTGGGGCACTATGCAGGAACCAGTGTGCAGTATATTGAGGTGCATGGGGATGAGAGCATGTGGTGTATGGGGTATGCAAGCACGGGGATACGTGGGGGGCATGCACACAGCTGGGCTATGCAGGAAATTGGGTGCACAGGGACCAGTGCCTGTGGTGTTACCAATGTGAACAGGGACTGAGGTACACAGGAATCTAGGGTGCACCAGGGGACAGAAGAATCCAGGATGCACAAAGACTGGGATTCATGGTGTATTGGGGTGCACAGGGCCTGAGGGTGCCCTGGGGGCTGGGATCTTCTAGAGAAACACCCAATTTTGGGTCAAAGAAAGTAGTTTCTGCATGTAAGAAGCCTTTAGCCTGGAGACTGTGGGGTGAAAGGCGACCTCCTGCGGTGAGATTTGGGATAGGGCCCAACTAAACCTGGTTTATGAACATCCCGCCTCGGTACCTCCGATACTGAACCACGGCAAAACCGCACCCAAGTGCTGGATAAACCAAACTCATTCATACAGGAACCAAAGGAGCCAGTTTGGTACCAGCCCCACTCGCCCAAAGCAGTCAGTTCACCACCACCACCCCCCCTCCCCAAAAGGGGCTTTATCTCTGTCCCAAGCATAGCCCCAATTCCTCTTTTCCTTCCCATCTATGGGAACAGGGCACAAAACCCCCTGCTCAGGGGGTGGTGGTGGCCCTGGTGAGAACCCAGTGTCCTCCTCCCACCCGTGAGTGGGGTTTGGGGCAGTTTATGATGAGGGGAATGATCTTCAAGGATCTTCAGCTTTTATACCCCTTTAAAAGCAAACAGCTTCTAACACTGGTTTTATACGATTAAAACACTCCAGGCTCAGAACTTGGAGCAGATCCTCCCTCCCTGCCCCTTCAATAAGCAGTTTTTTGGCAAATATTGAGGGACTTCTCTTCCAAAGCAAATCCAAGTGGTTTCTCCCCAAAGGTATGCCCCCAAAAGCCAGGACTTGGAGGAGGCTGTGGGTTTATGCAGCCCAGTCTCCCCCCGAGGTGCTGAGGCCACGTGGCAGCCCCTAAGAATCCTGGAATAAGGGGTTTGGAGGAGAAACTGCTGATGGGAGGAGTAACAAGCAGCTAAAAGCAAAGGCAGGGTAATGCTGGGGAGGTGGATGGTGTGTCAGTGCTCAGGAGACAGCCAGAGGTGAATGCCAAGAAAACAAAGCTCAAAATGAAGAGGAAAAGCCAAAGAAAAGGCACAAAATAAAAAAGCAACCCCCAGATTTCAAATTAAAGTTGCAAATAATTTAAAAATTAAAACTAAAACTAACTTTACAAACTCTTTTTTACTGACACCAACAAATCAAAGACTTTTGTCTTTCCTTTTTCCATCTCCTGGGGGCAGAAAGCCTGCTTACAGCAAGAGCCAGGCTTGAAACCAGTAACATTTTTCTTCTCACATGCACTAAATGGAACCAAAATGAGTCTTAACTTTTAGATTTGGCGCTTCTTATCCCCATCTGGAATTTCCTGGATCCCAAAGTTGTTAAATCATTCCTGTTTCCGGGCGAGGGTTCACTCCTGGCTGCACACAGCCTCTCGTAAGGCTGTAGTTCAAAGGTGGTTGTGGTTTTCAGTCCAGTTGTGGTTCAGTCCCAGGCTCAGGTGATGACACCACGGGGTATGTGAAACAGGAACAGCAGACCAGGAGTTTGAACCAGGATTCCTTCAGTGAAGGAAAGGGAAACCCCACCTGGCACTGGGAAGTATGAGTGTTTCAACAGCAAAAATGTGTTAAATAATAAAAGAATATAAAAACTTAAAAAAATAAGGTAGGAATTACACATCTTCCCCTCTCTGCCCACAAAGCTGAGCTTAAATCAGCCCATCTTACTAAGTCTATGATTAAATCAACAAGGTAGTGATTCAGTTCACCAGAGGAGCATCATTCCTCGGATGCAGAGTCCCACCAGAAGGGTTACTCTCCAAAGATCCACAGGACGTTGACTCCCGATAATCCCAGGTTTACTCGCCTGCAAAACCAAGATTTACCCAATGTTATGGAAAAGCTGCTGGTGTTCCCAATGAGAAGGTGATTTTAGCACCATTAATATTATCCCACTGGAGCCGTTTTGGTTAAAGGAGTGAGGGACGAAGGGCTCCACTTGTGCCCCATGCTCTGATGGATACTACCATGTACTTACCCCAGCATCCCGGATTCTTTTGTCTTTATGATATAAAGGAACATCAGCAAGGTGTGGAACATGTTGTTCCTGCCCTGAATCCATGGAAAGAGGGAAGAATTAAGGAATGGAGTCACTGATGAGCAATCACAGCTCTATTTCAGGCGGAATAAGCAACTGTAGATGTCATGAAATGGCTCCTTGTGCTTTTCCCCTCAATACTTCCCATTTTTCAATGAGGTGAACACTAGAAATAGACCAAATGTTGGGATTTGGGCTGGAAAATCATCTCCAAATACTTTAAATTCCAGAGCTTTTTCTGAACACAGATATCCAGCATTAAAAGTCACAGGAGAATTTTGCTGGTTTCAGACTGGAAGATTCCTCTGCCCTGGAATCCTTACGAACAACACAGGGTTTGCTGGTCTTTGGGGTGACAACAGGCATCAGCAACTACACAACATGGTATTTTAACATAAACTATCAGTAAATGAGATACAAGGAAGCTACTACTGAGGTAGTTGTGTATCTTAAGTAGATACTAAAGGTATTATTTAGCACAGCCAAAGTAGTGCATTGTGGTCAAAGACCAAGCTCCTGTTTATGAGCACTTGCTCAGCCTATGTGTAAACAGTCCATAAATGTGGCTGGGACATGAAAATCCTACTCCAAATCTGATTCAGGGATGGTTTCCTGATGGAAAGAGACCACCCACACCATCGTACCTTGGGCAGGTTGTGGGTCTGGCCCTGATAGATGAGCTCATAGTGAGGTGGATTGATGCTGCTTTGGTAGATGCAGAAGACGTTCTCATTTGAAGTGTCTGTGAGGAGGAAGTGCTGGCTTACACCCAACTCCCATTTTTCCTAAGGTTCCCCAGCTCCAGATCTTTTTGCAACTAAAAATTCCCTTTGTCTTGCTTTAGTTACACGTTTTAGACAGCTTTTCTGGGGTTGAAATTCATTTTAACACACACTCACTCCCCAAACCTCTCCCCTGCACACCACTCTCCTCTCTGGCACTCATCATACAGCTTCCCAGCTGCCCTCCCAGTTATTCCACCCAATGCCTCTCCTCCCAGACTCTCCCACCCACTCCCTCTTCCTTTCCCTATTTCCCTTGCCAGTCTCCCCTCCTTCCCTTCTCTTCTCCCTTTCTCTTACTTTTCACTCTCTTTGAATGACCGTAACGCTGCCAGGAGTACGCAGATGAGCTGCTCCTCCTTCTTAAATTAGCTAAAATAGCCAAATTAGCTTAGAATTGAATGAGTAGCACAAAAGAAGTATCTACATTTAGCTAAACTTTCCCCAGTATGTGGCTGCCCCATCCCTGGCAGTGTCCAAGGCCAGGCTGGACAGGGCTTGGAGCAACCTGCTCTAGTGGAAGGTGTCCCTGCCTGTGGCAGGGGATTGGAGCTGGAGCAGCTTTTAAGGTCCCTTCCACCCCAAACCATTCCATGATTCTATGATTTCAAGGGCACTGATGTGAGCCAAGAGGCAAGGAGTAGCTCAATGTGGATGCTGGTACCTGGTTTATCTGGTGTCTGAACGAAGTGCTGGGAAGTGAAGGTTTTGCCATCGGGATACTTGGGGTGAGGCGGGAGCCTGGAGTCGAGGTAAGTGCAGAACACATGCATAATGATCTGGGCAAACAAAACCAAATCCCACTTGAGCTTCCTTAGTTTGGGATCTTACTTCCCATGCTTAGCTTATTAAGAATACCATAATTGTGAAATAAAGTCCTAAAATAAGTATTCAGAAAACCACACTTCAGCATCTTTGTGTTCTAAACCTTCATGGAGACTTCTCAATACTTTATGGGGGCAACATCACCAATTCTCTGTGATCTGATACTTCTGTGTTCAAAGGGATGGGATCCAAAGGGACCTGGACAGGTGGGACTGTGTGAACCTCATGGAGTTCAACAAGGCCAAGTGCAAGGTCCTGCACATGGGTTGGGGCAATCCCAAGAACAAACACAGGCTGGGGGAGACTGGATGGAGCAGCCTGAGGAGGAGGACTTGGGGCCGCGGGGTGAGGAGAAGCTCCCCATGACCTGGCTTCAGTGTGTGCTTGAGCCCAGAACCCCCCTGTGTGCTGGGCTGCACCCTGAGAGATGAGCTCTTAGGCAGAAGCTCTTCTCTGTGAGGGTGCTGAGGCGCTGGCACAGGGTGCCCAGAGAAGCTGTGGCTGCCCCATCCCTGGCAGGGCTCAAGGCCAGGTTGGACACAGGGGCTTGGAGCAAGCTGCTCTAGTGGAAGGTGTCCCTGCCCATGGCAGGGGGTTGGAACTGGATGGGCTTTAAGGTCCCTTCCAACACAAACCAGTCTGGTATTCTGTGACTATAACAGGATCTTTTTAACAGACAAAAGAGCTTTTCCAGACTAAATGCCAAAAGTCAAGAAATGTGGGAGATGCACCCTGGAAATCACAGCTATTTTCTACAGTGTGATTAACACAAATGTGAAATTGTGTTTATTTTTTGCTAATAGTAACTGTTTTAAGTTAACGTCAGAACTTCCCAAATGTGTATTTACACCTCTGAGCTGTCTGCCCTGCTGCACTGCAAGACACTACAAGTTGCTCCATGGCCAGTCACTACCACGTACTTAATCACCTTCACAAACTGGACATCAAATCCTATTTCAAGACTGATTTTGTACAACTTCAGCTCCCAGTGACTGTGTCTCATTACACCTTTCTCAGGAGAGGCATGAACCTCTGACATTCTGATCTCCTGGGTTTTATTCTCCCAAGTAACTGAAAATCATTTATTATAATTATTCAGTTGAATAGAATTATTGGGTTTAAACATACAGCAAGAGCTGCCCCAACAAGATCCCTCGTCTCTGGCTGCTCCCTATAGTTACCTGACAGATGTTTCAGATGAGCTGAAGTAAAAGCCTGGCCTAAGACTAAGATATACAATTACATTGTTATGGTCTATGCAATGTCCAATCCCATTTGCATTACTCCCCAGGGAATTTCACCACCCACAATGGGATTATCCATGGAAGTGATGCAAACAGGATTTCACTGTGTTCCTCAACAGTTCTTGGTTACTCCCTCCAAACCCCTGTGCTCAAAGGCAGCCCACTCTGAGCTGTCAGCTCAAGATGTCTTTGAATACTCACAGAGGAGTCTGTGGGCAGGTCCGTGTCCCACTTCCTGCCCCTGAAATCCCCTCCTCTGTTCCATCGGAATGAACTCATGCATCCTCCCTGGGAAAGCTCTGAAAGCAACAGGATTCAGTTAATGGCGGTTCAAAGTGTATGAGAGGTATTTTGTGCTGATTTCAGGGGCTTCATGTATGTTTCCAGTGTACAAAATCAGAAACATCCAACTAATTAAATGCTTGTAAAGACATGGCCCAGCAGTGTGTGCTTGAGCCCAGAACCCCATCGTGTGCTGGGCTGCACCCCCAGAGCATGAGCAGCAGCTCAGGGAAGGTATCCTGCCCCTCTGCTGTGCTCTGGGGAGAACCCCCGCCCTTCCCCCCTGCAGCCCTGATCCAGCTCTGGGGCAGCAGCACAAGAGGGATGTGGAGCTGTTGGAGCAAGACCAGAGGAGGCCATGGGGATGCTGCGAGGGCTGGAGCAGCTCTGCTCTGGAGCCAGGCTGAGAGAGCTGGGCTGGGTCAGCCTGGAGAAGGCTGAGGGAGACATTATTACAGTCTTTCAGTACCTAAAGGGGGATGAGAAGAAAGCTGGAGAAGGACTTTTTACAAGGGCCTGTAAGAACAGGACAAGGGGAAATGGCTTTAAACTGAAAGAAGGCAGATTTTGATTTTAGGCACAAGTTCTTCCCTGTGAGGGTGCTGAGGCGCTGGCACAGGGTGCCCAGAGAAGCTGTGGCTGCCCCAGCCCTGGCAGTGGTCAAGGCCAGGTTGGACACAGGGGCTTGGAGCAAGCTGCTCCAGTGGAATGGCAGGGGGTTGGAACTGGATGAGCTCTATGGAACTGGATGAGCTCTATGGTCCTTTCCAATCCAAAGCATTCTAGGATTCTATGATACTGATATACGATATGGGGAGGTAAATTTAAATGATGATTTTTATCTGTAGTGAATGAAGAGATCAAATCCAGCACTTTGCACCTTGAGCACGCAGGAGGAAACTGAGAAATAGGTCTTTTAAAACCATTCCCAAGGTTACATCCAAGTCCTGCATCATTATATCACTTTTAAAAGATAAAGTTGCGAAGAAGCATCTCTCCAGCTGAAGAGTAGCTCTCATCCCTGTGTGACTCTTCAAACATCTCCACTAAGGAAATGTCTGACACCACCATCACTTGACTGCAGTAACAGAAGTGGTTTGAAGTCAGTGTGGTGGCACCGTGTTACCTTTGATCCTTTCCACCAAGTACTCCTGGTTGGGTGTAAGATCCAGGTACTGCACAATAGTGTTCAGGGTTGGAATGAGAGGAGCTTTAACAAGTGCTGCCTGCTTCAGGCTGCTGATACTGGCTTCTGCAACACAAGAGAGAAAGAGCTGGTCAGCCAAAGCTGTTCCTCCAGTGTCATTCCAAAGAGGACCTGGTCCTTTCTGGTCCACCATTTAAAGTCCCCAAAGCATTTAAGAGGTGACACTACCCCAAATGCTCATTTCAGTTACAGTGAAGTACCAGATGTCTCCTTTAGATCACAGAACATAAAAGATACAAGGAATCAATATCCACTTTGAAGAGCAGAAGAAGAGCGGGGACAAGACCAGCACTGACCTGTTTTAATATGGGTGTTGCAACAGATACAGCTCTTGAAGAGACACCAGATGAAACAGCCCCGAAAAGGTGACCCCACCAATACAGAGTGGAAATGGAACAATATTCAACAAAGGTACTGTAGGTTAACACGCACCCATTGACACCACCATTATCCACCTCCAGGAACTCCAAAGCTACTGCCAGCTCTTACCTCCAATCTGCAGCTCTGGACACCCCATTCTTCTCAGCTGAGTGCTCACAGCATCAATCTCTTGGACAAGTGGCACTAGAATAGTCTCATTAATCCACTAGGAACAGAAAAGGTGAAAATTCAGGATGTCAGAAGCAATAAAAATGTTTAAAAACTCCAACCCAAGTTTTACATCCTACTAATTGTCACCATTTGCCCCTCTATTCTGGTGAGACCCCACTTGCAGCACTGTGTACAGTTCTGATGTCCTCAACACAAGAAGGACATGGAGCTGTGGGAGCAAGTCCAGAGGAGGCCACAGGGATGATCAGGGGCTGAAGCACCTCCCGTATGCATCACCCCTTGTCCTGTCACTCCAGTCCCTGATGAAAAGTCCCTCTCCAGCATCCTTGTAGCCCCCTTCAGACACAAGGAGCTGCTCTGAGGTCTCCACACAGCTTCTCTTCTCCAGGCTGAACAGCCCCGATGTTCTCAGTCTCTCTCTTCATATGCCACTTATATGTCTGACATATCTGTTCATATGTCATGTGCCTGTCCTCATATGTAATTTGTCATGGCCAAGATGCTTTTGTTTGTCATTCAAAGGTAGATGAAATTTACAACTGTGTAGTTTTTGGAATACAAACCACCAAGATCAGGTGGAAAAGGAACCTCTGCAATCCCTTCTTCCTGTGTTCTTACCTCCGTGTGCCACCCCAAGACTCAGACACCGCAATTCTTCCAGCACCCATGGGACACTGAGGTGCTTTTCCACTCTGCTGGAGTTCTCACAAACTCACCTTGTTCTCAAAAACTGGGCATTCCTCAAAGGTGGCACTTACGTTTCTGAACTTGGCGGTCCAGGAATCCATGTGATCAAGGAGCTGTCGGTTCATTGTCACCCGTGCCCAAACCTATGGAAAGATTTAGTAAGCACATATGAGAACTTAATCAAATACCAAGACTTTTGGGGGTCTATGACAAGTTCTGACATTAACTACATCACAGCTTTAAGGTCCCTTCTAACCCAAACCATTCTGTGTGACTTCTGCAGCAGCTTCACATACAACACTTGTATTCATGGTACAATCATCTTGTGTGAGCCCAAATTCAGTTTTAAGCTCTCTGCTCTACTAGGTTAAAACTGGTCTGAACTCTAGGCTTGATGTAAGAGGTATACAAGGGGTATATGGGTTTGAACTTAAACAGGGGAAGTTGAGGTTGGATATAAGGCAGAAGTTCTTCTCTGTGAGGGTGCTGAGGCGGTACCACAGGGTGCCTGGAGAAGCTGTGGCCGCCCCATCCCTGGCAGTGTTCAAGGCCAGGTTTGATGGAGCTTTAAGGTGCCTTTCCACCCAAACCATTCCATGATTCTACGATTACAACTCATAATATGAAATGTCCATTTTTAGCGACACAGAGTCTTTCAAGCTGTACAAAGATGGTTAAATGCTTGAAGAATCGTCTCTCCCTCATTTCTGATGCAGGTCAAGTCCAACCCTCTGTACAAAGCTGTGGATTTTAAAGGCTATTTCTCCCTCTTGTCCACCTTGCTGCCCAATTTACCTCTTCTGCAGCCTGTTTTGAGCTCATATCAGCTTCGTCCTTGTGTGCTGATGGAGCCTGGGACCTGCAAGCCAGCTGATACTGGAACTTCCTGAGCATCTGTGCATAGTCTGCTATGGAACGGCTGTAGTTCCAGAAAGTCGGGCTGCTGGAAGGAGAGCTCGAATCTGAACTTCCTGAAAGAATTCATTAAACAGTCACGTAGAATTACTACCAAGTCACTCTGGAAGCAAGAGTACAGGCACACTGGGCTTTTAAGGCTTTGATAAGAGACAGGAACAGGAATTACCAGGAATAGAGGCAGAAGTCAGTCTGTATAATCACCCTTATCTTGATTGTCCCTATCCAGGACAGAAACTGCCTGCAGGTAATTCCCTTTATCTGAAATACCTTCTCCACAGGATATCCCTCTCATCAAGGACAAGGTTATCTTATCATGGCCCTCTACAGCCAATGAACACTACAGAGACAATCTATCAGCACCCATTTCCACACAGGCATGTATCCTATTCAAAGGAATACTTTGGAGGAAAACTTTCTGAGAATCCTAAGCCAACTTACTAGTCACAGGTTACTAGTGCGAGTACACAGGAATCCTTTGCAGCTTTCCCCACCCACAAAAGCTAAATGTGATTAAACCCGCCACCTTCTCATTGCCAAGCTGTTCTGACTGAATCAGTTTTCTTTACCTAGCTGAACCCTCTGCTGCTTCTCTTCTTCACCTCGAAGGAAGGTATCCAGGGACTTGAGGTCTGTCATGTAGTCTTCTTTGCCAGTAGGAGAACTATAGAACACAGGTGAAGAGCGGTAACGAGACCTCAGACCACCACCTTCCATTGTCCCAATACTCGTGTTGTACATGGATCCAGTAGGAAAGGGGCTAGAGCCAGAAACCTTGGGTGAAGAAAACCAAACACATCATTTTCTTTCTTCGACTTTGCACTTACACTTTTGTTTCTTAGTTTTGCTTTGTTCTGAAACAAATGAGCTGCTCTGAACCAAAGGAAGTGTCACTAGGGAGAAAGGGCAAATCCCAATACAACACATTTACATCTACTTTGCAACAGGAGTGAATGCACAAATGCACAAGTCTCCCAACAGAATCTCTCCAAGTGCTGCTGCTCCCATTCAACGGCCCAGCACACAAAACAAAGACCAAACTGTACCCCTGGGAGGTGTCTTGGTCGTTACCTTACTGTAGCTGCCACTTGGTGAATAGGTCATACTGCTGTGAGAACTGCTGGTGCTTGACAGAGCCTGTAGCTGAGGACTGTAGCCTGTGATACAACCAGTAGTAAACTTTGGACTGGCACTAGGGGAGCGGGATGGGCTGTAACTCAGCACACTTTGACCCTGGATTGGAGGAGAAGGTGTTGAAGATGGGTCCTTCTTTGCTGCCAGCTCACGTGGTGGAGTTGTTTGTACAGCTGCAAGAAGGAAAAATAGGATTAGCACCGAGGATGGAGCAGCCCCAAACTCTCCTCAGGCTTTAAACACACAACAAAACACATACATGGTGCTATCTTATGGCTCTTTTATAAAGCTGCTAGAAAGGACATGAGAAAAATCTGGTCCCTACAGAATTCAGTGGTCAAGCAATGGATGGAAGAGACTGAGAGACATGCACAAGACTCGGTACAAATCCTACAGCTTTGGATTTCAGTTAAATATTACAGGCACCTGCATGACCCTGGGTAGCTTCTCTAACTCATCTCTTCACTTACTCTACCTGCCTACTTCAAGCATCACCTACTAGATAATCTTAAGGTCCTTCCTAACCCAAACCATTCTATGATTCTATATAAAATCCCTGAACTTTGGTGATACAGCATTACTCCTGTCTGCCTCTCATTTTCTTGAGGCAGACTCATGAAGTGCAGTGCTACTGTGCCAGCATTTTGCTGCTGGTGTATTTACCTTGTCAGGTTCTGGTGTATGTTAGAACTCTGCTGTGATCCTCAAAAGCTTTCAGAGTGACTGCACTCTAGGCTGCCATTTTCAGATCAGGACTTGATGATCTTAAAGGTCTTTTCAACCTGATTGATTCTATGATTATATTTATAGGCTACATATTCCTTGCCCAACCTCATGACATTGAAGTATCTCACTACCCAGTCCTTTTACACCAGGAGTGTTTGTTTCCCCGCTGTTCTCCCCACACGCACTCATCAAATTACCACTTGACATTACACACTACACTTGATGTTGTGAACTTTAATACACAGCAGGTAATTCAGGTTTACTCGTATCGGAGAGGTAATTCAGAACTCACTTAACTAAAGAATCCTGCACTAGAGTACGATAAAGGGAAAAACAGGAGAAAAAAATAGGAATAAAAGTAAAAAGACTGCCAGAGATACTTATCCCACCCACCTGCATTCTGCAAGCCCAGCAGTCTCCTCTGGCCAGGACTCATGACCACGGTTGTCGGTGCCACTGTGTATTTGAAGTACAACCAGAAATCAAACAAGGCATTCAGGCTGAACACAGATGCAAAGGCAAGTTCTGGAAGAGACACAGATGGTTTTACCAATGAAGGTGCATTATTTGCAAAATCAGGAATCAAAACCAGGTCATTATTAGTGCTACCAGTGAGCACCAGTTTGGGCAACTATCTAGGATTTCTTCCCCTTCTTATGCAAGAACCATTGGAGCTCGTTTTCCTTACAGTCAGTGTGGAGTCTACTCCTCTGAAACAATTTTTAAGTACTGTGAAATGGCATCTACACCCACAGTACAATGTGGTAGTAAAACCCAGAGTGTTCTACAAAGCCTTACTCCACACATTTCAGATTCAATGCTCCAAACAAGTTCTTCATGCCCTTTCATGATATTATCTAGGAAAGCTAATAAAACTCCTTATCTGTCACTAAAGAGGATGAAACTCCAACAGTTTCAAGGAAGATGACAGAAAGTAAACCAAAGGTTTGGTTTGAATTTAAACAGAAAAAAATCTCATTGAAAAATGACACCACCACCCCCCCCAAAAAAAAAAACAACAAAAACCTGGCAAGCAAAAAAAGTAAAGAATCCTAAAAACTCCTGTAAATGCTGCAGCAACTCACCAATATACCACAGTAGCCAGTATGAGATGTTGTAGTAGGAGCTTAAGAGTTTCCCAGTCCTAAAAGGAATAAAAATGAAGTTATTTTGCAATAATTCTGCCCCAGGAAATATTCAGGGGTATAGAAAGTAGGATGCTTTGCCTGTTTGAAGCTGATGTAACAACTAACTTACATTTCAGTATATATCATGCCTGCAACAGACACATTAAGGAGGCCCCAGGCCAAGATGACCTTCCGGGCTTCAACCTCCTTCCTTATCTGGAAGGTTTTGTCGATGAGGGAAGTCTCTGGACTCTGTTCTGATGTCATCATCTGTAATACCAAACACAGAGACAACATCTGTCAACTTTTATAGAGTAAATCTTGGTCAGTAGAAGATGAAAGAAAAAGCAGTTATCCAAAACTCTATAAACAGGGTTTACCTTTAGGCACTAAGTAACAGTGTATTATAAAAGAAAGCAGATTCTTTTCACCGGCAAAAATAGGTGTTATTTCTTCAATGACATTTCTGTCACCTCATTACTGAGGAGCAGCACCCATCTTCTCCAGGGAGGTGCAAATAAGAGGCCAGAGAAAGATTCCAACCTCATTTGGGGCAACAACAGCACAAGAGGAACTTGGAGCTGTTGGAGTGAGTCCAGAGGAGGCCACGGAGGTGCTGCGAGGGCTGGAGCAGCTCTGCTCTGGAGCCAGGCTGAGAAAGCTGGGCTGGGTCAGCCTGGAGAAGAAAAAGCTCCTTAAGGGGAGACCTTAGAGCAGCTCCAGTGCCTAAAGGGGCTACAGTGCCTAAAGGGTCTACAGGAAAGCTAGAGAGGGGCTTTGGACAAGGGCCTGTAGGGACAGGCCAAGGCAAATGGCTTTAATCTGCCAGAGGTGAGACTGAGATGAGCTCTTAAGCAGAAGAACCCAAAGCAGTCTGTGATTCTGAGATTCATATTTGAAAAAGAACCTCCTTCAGAAGCGAGAGGAAAAGTTCCTGCCTTCTCCAGGCAAAGGAAGCCACAAGAAAGAAAGGCCTAGCACTATTCTGCAGTATTTTTATTGAACATTCCCAGTCATTTAAGTAGCCAACAGGATTTTGAGAGTGTACAAACACCTCCTGTGGGTTCAGTGCGTCTGAAAAGTAGTAGCTTTTATACCCAGTAACACCTTATGTCAAAGAACTAATCCTGGCGACTTTTTCTTCCACTGCCATCATCAAAATATGTTACTGTCCCTTCCTTCTGCTCACTTCAACACTTGTCACATCGTTCTTCACTAGATGGGAACATAAATAGTTTTCTTTTAGGGAAAAAAACACACAAACCCCAAATCACATAATCTGCTTCTTCCTGGCACAATGATTCAATGGTGAAATAACATCAGGGGTACTGGAAAAATTATACAAGAACACATTGCGGGCAATCCTTCTGACTGGTTTTTCATACACTTTGAGCCCCAAAACCTCCCTTCCCATGCTGACGGAAGTAGCAGCCCCAAGGAGGAATCCTCTCTGCCATCCTCACACTCCCAACTTCTCTCCCTGAACCATGTCCTCCTGCTTAAGCAGAAGTTGCACTGTTGGGGCACTGAAATAAAAGGGAGATTTGGTCCCTTTCTACTCACTTAAGAGGGCATCACCTGTAGACTGAAATATATCCTCCCATACCCCCTGCCCTCTTCTGAGGCACAGTAATCACAGAATCATAGAATGGTTTGGGTTGGAAAGGACCTTAAGATCATCCAGTTCCAACACCCCTGCAGGGACACCTCGCACTAAACCATGTCACCCAAAACGCCATCCAACCTGGCCTTGAACACTGCCAGGGATGGGGCAGCCACAGCTTCTCTGGGCACCCTGTGCCAGCGCCTCAGCACCCTCACAGGGAAGAACTTCTGCCTTATCTCCAATCTGAACTTCCCCTGTTTCACTTTGAACCCCTCACCCCTTGTCCTGTCACTCCAGTCCCTGATGAAGAGTCCCTGTCCAGCATCCTTGTAGCCCCCTTCAGACACTGGAAGCTGCTCTGAGATCTCCACACAGCTTCTCTTCTCCAGGCTCAACAGCCCCAATGTTCTCAGCCTGTCTCCATACAGAAGGTGCTCCAACCCCAATCATACTCGTGGCTTCCTCCAGACTTGCTCCAACAGTTCCGTGTCTTTCTGATGCTGAGGACACCAAAACTGCACACAGTGCTGCAAGTGGGGTCTCACTTCGACAACCCCTAAGTGCCACACACGGAAGTCCCCACATTCTCCCCTAACCCAAACTCCCAGCTTGCCCCTGCCACACAGAACCCTTGTCCAAGACCCCACAGCCCTCTCCATCCAGATCTCATGCAGATCTCACTGACACTCACTCTGCACCCCCATAGCTCCCCTTGCCACACACAGAGGGACCATCAGGGCTCCCCCCCCCCGACCTCACCGTTACACACAGGCAGCGCCCTGCCATACACGGGCGGCTCTCATAAACCGCATCTGCCCCCCATCCTGACCCCATCACACCAAAGCGGCCCTACTTCCCCTCCACCCCCCCCCCCCCGTTCTGAGCATCACTCACAGAACCACAGACCCAACGCGATGGAAAAGACCTTTAAGATCACCAAGTCCAACCTTTACCCCAAGTCCCCCATGTCACTAAGGGCCTCATCCACACGGCTTTGCAAGGGAAGCGGCCTCTTGCCCACAGCCCCATACCACACAGAGCGACCCTCACCGCCGAACACCGCCCGCCTGCAGGCCGCCGCCCCTCGCAGCCCGACGCGGGGGGTCACTCATAGTACCTGCCGCTGCTCTGAGCGCCGGCGGAGCTGAACGGGCACGGAATTCCCTCAGGAAGCGCAAGGCCTCCCGCTCCCCACACGGGAAGAGGAGCAGCGCCCGCCTCCCTCACGCGACCGACCCCGACCGCCGGCAGCGTCGCAACGCCGTGACGCCACAGCCTGCGCCGGCGGATGCGCGCGCAGCTGTGTTTTGGCGCGAAGCGGCGGCTATGTTGTGGCGCGGGGGGAGGGCTGTGAGTGGCAGGCATGGCGGCTATGGCGGGTGCTGCGGGCCTTCCGACACAAACCAGTCTGGGATTCTGTGATGGTTCATGTCTGCCTCCGGCCTGTTCCCGTGCCTGAGCACCCTCTGGGGAAGGAATCGTTCCTCAGCTCCATCTAAACCTGCCCTGGTGCAGCTTGAGGCCGTTTCCTCTTGTCCCATCCCTTGTTCCTTGGGAGCAGAGCCCAGCCCCTCCTGGCTCCATCCTCCTCTCAGGCACTTGGAGGGAGCCATCAGGTCCCCCCTGAGCCTTCTCTTCTCCACACTGACCCCCCCAGGTCCCTCAGCCCTTCCCCATCACACTTGTGCTCCAGGCCCTGCACCAGCTCCACTGCCCTTCTCTGGCCCCACTCCAGCACCTCAATGTCTCTCTTGCAGTGAGGGGCCCAGAACTGAACACAGGATTCAAGGTGCAGCCTCACCAGTGCCCAGTGCAGGGGCACAGTCACTGCCCTGGCCCTGCTGCCGCACTGGTGCTGGTACAGGCCAGGATGCTGGTGGCTTCCTGGCTGCCTGAGCACAAGCTGCTCATGTTCAGCTCCATCAATCCAGATCCTTTCCCATGAGCGGTTTCCAGCTGCTCTTGCCCAAGCCCAGAGCGTTGCAGGGGGTTGATGCAGCCCAAGTGCAGGACCCAGCACTTTGCCTTTTGAACCTCATCCCATTGCCCTCATCCCATAGATCCAGCCTGTCCAGATCACTCTGCCCTCCAACAGACCAACACTCCCACCCAGCCCAGTGTCATCTGCCAGTGTTTAACCCACTCACCCAGGCCATGAGCAGTCACGACATGTCGGTGCTTCCTGCAGTGTCGCTTGGACAATGGGGTTGCCAAGGCACTGCTCCAAACATTGCAGTTCACCCCTTGGAGAGTAAACAGCCCCATGTTCCATGGTCAGTAACGAGGCTCCATGGGATTCCCTTTTCCCTCTCTGTGGCGGTGCCACTGGCAAAAGGACCCTTTTGTCTCTGGCACTAGTCAGAAAACAGATGAGTGGGAATATGATGAGGATGAGGAAAGCTCTGGGGGGATCAAAGGGAAGATGCTGCTCTGCTTCTGCACTGGTATTGTGGTCATCTGCCTTGTCTGCTGTGCTCAAGTAAGATATCCATAAATTCCGTGTTTTCTGCTGACACCTATGGGCCCTCAGCACAAGGATATTTGACTTCTACACAACTTTCCTGCCTAAAAGGCTTTCCCAACCTTGGAAGTTGTTGTTATTATAACTATCTCATGGGATGATGTCACTGTTAGAACCAGTCATTAATCCCCAGGTGTACGTAACTGATTGTATCTCTCTCAGTACCCTTCCCATCCCCTTCTTGTTATTCCCAGTTACTATTCATCCATGTCCTAAAATGCAAAGCTCCAACATGATCCGATGGAGTGTGTGGTGCTACATGACTCAACATGTAAAATCTGGGAATAAGCCTGGCCAGTTGAAGGTCTCCATTTCCTAATATAAGGAAATTTGAGTTGGGAACAAGTAACTCCATTGCAGCCAGTGTTATTCCACAGATTTTCTAGAGAGAATCAAAATGATGATTCTGCTTCTACAATGATGCCAGTCGCATCTATAAATGGTGAGCCACATACTGAAATCCCTACTCATTCTTTATCCAGGGCATTCCCAAGGTGCCTTGTGGATTAGGAACATGGGAATGATCCATTATTTACAGAAATAATAGTTCTCTCAGCAGTAATCCCAAATGAATTGTGTTATAGACAATTAACTTTGATCAGCCAAAAGAGTTGTGACGAAGCCCTTTGCCGTGTCAGTGTGATTAGAAGATGAGAAAAGAAACATTTCTATCCAAAGGTGGAATGGGTATGGGATTTCTGACGAATGGGGGATTGGTATAAATGGAAGACATGAGCATTCCCCTCCTGGAGGTGTGTTCCTGGGGCAGGAGCTGGCTCTGCTCCCTGTGCTGTAGCTGTGCAAGGACCAGTCAGCCTCATGTCACCTGTGCAGTGAGAATTTAGCATTATGTAAGGAATTAATATTTACATGTTGGTCTGAGTAACATCTGTACAATGGCATTTCCCTGAAACAGGTCCTCCAGAAAGTCCAAAGTAAATGGTTATGTTCTGACAAAAGGGAGAGCAATTCAACAGGTAAATATGAGTTTTGTGACCTTATGCCCAAGGCTCAAAAGATCAGTTTAGAAAGTGCTTGGGACCCTGGTGGAGAGAAGGAGATGCAGAACACAGAGAGGGCAGAGGGGACAAGGGGATCACACGAGCACAAGGAGAGCTCAGTCCATTACAGGTTATCTCCTCCCTCCTCCCTATTCCTATGGAATTGCTGAATGTTTGTTTTGAGAAGATGGGAGACAAGGGGCTTGTCTCGGCCGCCTCTTCTTCTGTGTGATAGAAGAGACTGTTACACAGGATAGGATCATAGAATCCTGGAATGGTTTGGGTTGAGAGGGACCTTAAAGCTCCTCCAGTTCCAACCCCTTGCCACAGGCAGGGACCCCTTCCACTAGAGCAGCTTGCTCCAAGCCCCTGTGTCCAACCTGGCCTTGAACACTGCCAGGGATGGGGCAGCCACAGCTTCTCTGGGCACCCTGTGCCAGCGCCTCAGCACCCTCACAGGGAAGAGCTTCTGACTAAGAGCTCATCCCAGTCTCTTCTTTGGCAGGTTAAAGCCATTTTCTACTATTAATATGGTGATTTTAAGCAACAAAGGTTGATTGGACAGGGCCTTGAGCAACATGGTCCAGTGGAAGGTGTCCCTGCCTGTGGCAAGGGGTTGGAACTGGATTATCTTGAGGTCCTTTCCGACTCAAACCATTCTTGATTCTATGGTTAGATGAGATTCATTGAACGTTTCATTTCTTAACCTGTCACCATGGTGTTCCTGAGTCACTCCATGATACCACAGCTTCTAGGACTGTCCCACCCTGCTCACATTAGTGTGCCAGGGCCCTGACAGTGCTAATTACCCTGACCAGCCTCATGTGGGGCCACCACCCAGGCACCCTCCGCCCCTTGGCACGGAAGCTGCATTTAAGCTGAGGCCATTTGATCTGGTCCTTGTCTAAGCTGCAGTGGGTGCGCGATGGACTTGTAGCTCTTGACATCCTGGCTCTGGACCCACTGTGTGACATCCCTGAGGATCTGGACTGTGACTGTTCCTGGTCAGTGCCACTAAACCTCTCTGTTCCTCTTATTTGGGTCCTGTGGGGTTGTGCTGCTTGTGGTGAGTCCTCTGCCTGCCCTGCCTTGCTGTCACCTTTGGCTTCTGACTTGCTGTTGCACCCCTGCTCTTGCTGCTCTCTAATGTGCTTGGGTGTTGGGCACTGAATTGAACTCTAAGAGGCTTTCATCTTCATCCATTAGACTTACTGGTAGTTCAAGGCTGATCCCCAAACCCTGCAGGACCTCATGGCTACAGGAGAAGGTCACAGTGCTGCAAAGCCTCTGTAGGCCCTTTAATGGGCATTAGGGTTGGGTACAGAGCTTTGGGCTTAAATGCAGTTCCTTAAAATCAGTGGGTGGAGGCCCAAGATGATGCTGGTCAGGACACTGGAAGCTTGTCTGGTGTACTTTAGACCTTGACATCATGCTTGGCGGGATGTCTTGGCAGCCTTTAAATCCATGTAGGGTGTAACATGAGTAATTAAGCAAGCTGTAATTTTGCCCTAAATTAAGTCCCTCCTTCCTGTTTTCAACGATTCACAAGAGGTGGTGTGGACACTGTGTTGGTTCCTTGTGAAATGTTGAAGGCCATAAGCTATAGGTGGAATGTCTTCCATCAGAATTACTGCAGTGCTAGAAGCAGGAAGTTCTCATGGTGGTTCCTGTCTCTTAGGATCCACTTGTGTTATCTGAGTTGGGGAGAGTGGAGATGTTCTCATTTCTCAAAGACTGGGTTAGGTTAAGCCTCAAGGACCTGGGCACTTACAGGAACATACCTCACCTCCCGCAGAGCATATGTTCTCCAGAGTGTGCCCCCAAGATACAGCAATTGCAGGATGACTAATTCCTGTATGTCAGAACAGGCAGAATCCCTGCCTGAGGCTCCCTTTGTTCCCAAAACATGAGCCTTACAAAACACTTGCTTGGAACACATGACAGGAAGCCCCAGCCCTGGCTGTGGAAGGGTAGGGTGGGAGCAGGGAACAGGGGAAGCTCCTCAGGGAAGTGCTGACAAACCCTGACAGTGAGAGCTGTCACTGGGGAGACGGTTATTGAGAGTTTCCACTGGGGATTGTCAGACTTCCTTCCCTTGGTGTCCTGAGGTTGATTCCAGAGTAGCTGAACCGTTTCCCTTCTGCCTCATTTTAGTTCCCAGGAACCCCATCTGCAGCTATTACAGCAGGGTCAGCACCTGGCTCTTCCTCAGTAACATTTTTCATGGGATAAGCAAAAGGTGTTTCCAGCAGCTCTCCGGTCCTCCCAGGCATTCTGGGACACCCACAGCTGGGTGTTCCTGCAGCCAAAGGCAAGAGAGATGGTTCCCAAAGCTCAGCCAGAAGCCTGCCCGGCACCGTTACTCCTACAGGAGCTCAAACATCTTGGCACCTTCACGGAAGGTAAACAAGCGGAAGGCTATTCCCTGTGGAGCAAGATGTAGACAGAGACCAGGACAAGAGCAAAGGGACTCAGAGAGCTGCTGGATCAGGGAAGAGCCCTGTGGGCATTGTAAAATTGAGAGGAGCCAGCAGTGGCTGTCCCGGCACTTCTTCCAACCTGTGCCAGCTCTTCCTGAGAAGCTTACTTCATTAGGAGAGGAATCCTGTCCAAGGAGGAGGGTCTAGCTGCAGAGTGGAGCTCCTCTAAGTTCCTGTTCACCAAAGGCTTTTTCCTGCTCCTAATAAACATGCTTTCATGTGAACCTTGCTGCAACCTTAACTCGCTTGAAGGAGTGGCTGGATCTGTATGGAACATCCCATCTGGAGGTTGAGGGGGTGCTAGTAATGTCAATAAAGAATATTTAAACTATCATCTGGCTTGTATCTAGAATGTGTAACTTGTGTGTAAGAGTGAATTTATAGCATGGCCTTGTCTATCAGAGAGAACTTGTTGCATCACAGGCAGGACGCAGAGTTCGTCCTTCAAAACAAGCACTCAAATAGAGTATTTTTGCTGGAGAGGGATCTTTCTGCTGGCTGCCTCTTTGGAACAAGGAATTAGCTACTAGAAATCTATGGGAGGAAAACCCAGGACCAAAAGTCCATGAGGTAGAGCTCCTCACCCCCAGTGGGAGCTGGTTTGACTCTTATTTTCCTCTCCCTAGTAAAGTGTGTAAAAGGACACTGAGGAGCTTTGTGGGCAAAGCTTTGAAAACAACTCCTCCCTGACAGGTTTGAGTGTGTCAGTGGAAACGTTTTGGAGGTGAAATCAGCCTCCTATCTGCTGGTTGCCTTGAAAGCTCTGATAAAATGTGAGAACTCAGTCACATGGAATGCAGGCATGTGGAAGAAGGGTGGGTTTTTTTTAACAAGTCTTGTCTAAATTCACCTTTGTTAGGCTGAGCTGAGCTCCTCATCAAACATGAAGCTGGGTTTGATCTTCAGTGCCCTCTTCGGGGTTTCCTTGTGCCTGGAAACTTTTGTTGGGTGAGTAATGCTTTTGTGGAAGCCTTTTCATTTCAGGCTCTATGACCCAGTTGTATTTGTTCATCGTCTTAGCTTTATGAAATCTGCTTGGGGCACATTCTTTGTTATTTATGGCTGACTTCTCTTGTTGCTTCAGTATTTTGGTGTCTGACAGGACCCTTCTCTACTTTCATTTGGGTTTTCTGAGGAGAAGGGTCTGTCTGCATGCTGAGCTCCTAAATTATTCTCCACCCAAGGCTGTGACTCTGGGGCTCTGACTGTGCCATGGGAGCCATCTGGAGCCTTGATGTGGAGCTGAACCTCACTGCGCAACTCAAGTGTGCAGCTTGACAGATTTGGTGTGGCACAAAGCAGAGCTGAAAGCCCAGAACCTGGTTTCAGGTCAGAAAACTCACTAGTTTCCCTTTGGTTTTAGAGTTTCTTATTTCTTTTTAAATGCTTTATCCTCTTCAGAGCGCTAAGCAATTCAGATCCTTATTTCCAATGATTATATTCTAAAGATTTATCCTTGTGTTGCATTGCAAAACTTACCTCCTGGTGTGTTTCCTTACAGCCTTACTGACCATGTAAGAACCTTAATAGAAGATGATAAAAAACTAATAGATACTCCCTGAGATGTAGTAAGTCAGCACTAGATTCCTGTGAGTAAATCTGTACATGAAGATGTAAGGATTAAGAATAAGAAGTAATATACATAATTTACTAAAACTCTGGGATTTGTAAAACCAGGAAAAGCTATTTTGACCATTTAATCTGGGCTTTGGCATAATGTAGTCTAATTCTCATGAATTAATTCCTCAGTCATGTCCAGTAGCTGTGGTGAACGAGCCTCATTTCTTTGTGGAAGAATCCAATCCAGACATAAAGCTTATGATGATGGAGAATCTAGTAATAAGTTACTACTGTGGTAAAGTGCCTTCAGTGTTGATTTAACTTGATTCAACAAAACCCCTCAGGCTCTACAGCTAAGGAGCACGTTGGTACTTTGGCTACGACATTGACCCCAGGCTCTACTTTCAGTTGTTAATTCATTCTGGCTTCCAGGTTTCCTTCAGAATCCCCCCTGGTTATCCAGAATAGGATCTTCTGTCTCCCAGTTGTTGCATACACTTGTTCTTAGAGATCTTTTTGTCATTTCATAAAAGCACTGGGTAGAAGAGGCTTCCAGAAGTTTTCAGTCCATCCTTCTGTTCAGGGCATGGAGCTGCTTCCTCTTTTTATCATCCACCCTTACCAAGAAGAGTTTGTAATTGCTTTGTAATTCCCTTCAAGCAGTTGTAGGCTGCAGCTAGATCAGCCTGAACAACCCTGACCTCAGCAGCCTGTCCTCATGGTACTGTTTTCTTGTACCTCTTTTTACCAAGCAGCCTGCAACATTGTGTACTTGAATGGGACATATGTTTTTAGGGATATCAAACTATCTGGAGACTGTAGGCTGTGGTCACTGCATGTTGTACAATGCACAGTTAAGTGGAGTGAGGAACTTCCTGATGGTGATTCATTCCTCCTGGAATGGTGCAGGCCACCCTCTGATGATACCAGCTTCTGACAACACAGGGAAGTTTGTCAACAGTCTTCATCTGAACCGAAGAAAGATGAAACTAATCCTTTATTTAGTGTTTGCTTTGCTTGGTTGAATAGTGCTCCCCAAACATTTGGATCAAACCCAACCAGAATATTGTCTTTCTGCAAATTGTTGACAAAAAATAACTAATAGATGCAAGACTGATCCTTTTAGCAATTAAAAAGTTATCCACTTGATGACTTATGATGAAACCTTAATACTGTCATTTAAGTAGTTACTAATCTAGTGCATGTCTAGCAGGTTGTTGGTTGAACTCTTGGGTGACCTTAAGTCAAGTGCATTGAAGAAGTTCGTATCAGCTGGTGACATTCAAGTAACTACCCACCAAATCCATGATGCCAACAAGCAGCTATTTCAATCATACCCCTTTTTTAGCCTGTTTCTGAAGTCTTAGTGCTCTATTGCAGGCACCAGGTTCTCCGAATCAAGCCAAAAAATGAGGAGGAGATTAAGAAGTTACAGCATTTGGAAACGATGGGACACCTTGAGGTATGTTATTGCCACAAAGACATTTGTTAATGCTTTAGTTAGGGGTAGGACTTTGCATTACACGTGAAGGGTCTGTGCCATACTGTGGCAGTTGTAATAAACGGATTTACTGCCTCAAAACTTGGTGTTTGATCTGCAGGTTCTGGTGCCAGCTTGGTATTCAGGAGTGCCTGCTATCATATTTTCTTCCTACTGGGCTTACAGTCATAACTGAAGTGATCTGCTCTTAATATTGGAAAGCTTGTCTTTAAAGTGGGGATGCTAATGTTCCTGTACTTGTCTCCCAGCATTGTGGGAGGACTGTATTAGTTAGTCTACACTGTACTGAAGCAGGAAAACACACTATAAAATTCCAGGTTATTGCTGTTCTTATTGCCATTGGTGAGAATTGTTACTATTGTTATCTTGAAAACTATTGGTTTGAATAGTATCGGAATGAAAATGTAGAAAAGACCTACCAAAGGGGAAATAAAAGGAAAAATAAAACCAGTGTTATCTAGTATTGTAATACAGAGATTTTCTTTAAACTATCTTAAAATGGAGGATAGTAAAATAATCATCATAGAAGATTAACGTTTCCTCCTTATGTGACTGAGGCTCTGAAGTCAGTGAAAATGCTTATTTTAGTCTCCTGTGGACCTTTGTTGGGGGTTTTTGTGTGAGTTTGTTACTTTCACTGCTACAAGGTTGTGGCAAGGCCAAGGGAAAGAATGGAGCGTGCTGTAAGCACAGTTCTGCAGGAGACATTCAGTCTGGGAGCAGCCAGCATTTCTAAAGCTTTAGAAGAGCAGTTTGCAGAACGGTTTCCCCAAACCAAATCCATTTTCCTTTTCCTTTTTCAGCTTGATTTCTGGAAGAATCCCACTGCCCCATCCTTCCCTGCGGATGTGAGAATCCCTGCTAAAAGAATCCCGTTAGTCAAAGCCTTCCTGGAATCCCATGGGTTTGAATACTCCGTTCTCATAAAAGACCTGCAAGTAGGCAATGCCATTGACACATATTTCATAGAATTATGGAATGGTTTGGATTGGAAAGAACCTTAAGATCACCTAGTTTCAATCCCCCTACCATGGGCAGGGACACCCTCCACTAGAGCAGGTTACGCCAAGCCCCTGTGTCCAACCTGGCCTTGAACACTGCCAGGGATGGGGCAGCCACAGCTTCTCTGGGCACCCTGTGCCAGCGCCTCAGCACCCTCACAGGGGAGAGCTTCTGCCTTATCTCCAACCTGAACTTCCCCTGTTTCACTTTGAACCCCTCACCCCTTGTCCTGTCACTCCAGTCCCTGATGAAGAGTCCCTGTCCAGCATCCTTGTAGCCCCCTTCAGACACTGGAAGCTGCTCTGAGGTCTCCACACAGCTTCTCTTCTCCAGGCTGAACAGCCCCAACTTTCTCAGCCTGTTAGCTTTTATATCCTTTGAAAACAAATAGTGATCCACAGTCTGGCCTCATTCATTAACACACTCTTCCATACTCTGCTTTCCATGAGTCCTCCCCTTATTTTTGTAGTCTGTGAATTAATTTCTCAGAGGCACTCTGTGGATCACTGCTGTGCTGGGAAGCTGTGGGGATCACTCTGCAGATGACATCTAAAACTGTATTGAATAGTTTTCTTATAACCCCTGAGGAATTCCATGTGCTCTTTTGGCCTCAAACATTTGGAATCACAACACTGAAGTTACTCATAATTCAGTGACGTGTGTTAAGAGTGGTTCAGGCTCATACTCTGCAAGAACTGTACTCCACTGTGCGAGAGAAAAGGCACTCATCTGGGCACTAATTTGACACTTCTTTGTGAGCAGTAATCCCCAAATGGCATCTAAAATACCACATATGAGCAGAAACACTGACTTTTTCCTTCTCCTTCCCCCTAAAGCTTTCTTATTCATCTTAAGAAGTGTTTAAAGTTTAAACTGACTGTTCAAACACTGCTGTTCTTGCCCACTTCGCTACAGATACATTCAGCAGAAGCACCTCTTTGCTCCAGAGCCACCATTTCTTTATTTGAGATAAACATTTGGTCACAAGTTTGCAAACTAAACAGGCTTTTCTCAACACTTGAATGGTTTCTTTTAGGTTGTTCTAGATAAAGAGAAGCAAGATATGGCCCAAAGTCAGCAAAAGGATCGCAGCACTGCCACCTTTAACTATGGAACTTACCACTCCTTAGATTCCGTGAGTACCTTTTGGGGAAGAGGATTCTTTTATCTGGCCTTTTTTCGTGATGTCTTCAATGTCCTGTATGAGGAGCTAAAATAGCTTTCTGGCT